TGATACCGTTTCTTAGACCAGCTGGAAAATCGCAAGGAGGTACGAGGCTCGCGTGCTGCTAGCAGAGGCAGCCAAGTCAAGAGGGCGCATATAATGGGGTCCTAACCTTGGTTAGATTGCAATACAGCTAATAGATAATAATCACAACATTTATAGATAATAATCGCAATATTTATGGACAACAGAGAGTGCTTTTTGGTACTTTTAAGTATAGGTCCAACAAGACAAAGTCTGTTCCAGGACCGATTTCTTGAGTTTCAGGGTAGTTGTTGAGTTTCTCATTTTCTTTGCGAAATTCAGTCCCGTTCCGCTGATGATATCTTTTTTTTTTTTTTTTTTTTTGGGGGGCGGCCTCCAAGGTTTTTTTTTTCGGGGCCTCCTCTTATGATATTTTTTTTTTTTTTTTTTTTGGCGAGCGTGCTCCAAGGTATTTGTTATCGGAGCCTGTGCTTCGGCATACGTCAGTGTGATGGATTCAACGAAAGCCCTGTCGGGACAGGTTGGGTGAATATAGCTGCAGAAGTGGTGTCATCAGAGGACTTGATAGGTTAGCAGCGAGTCTGCTGATGCTGCAGCAAGACGTATAAAATATCAAAGCCATCCTATTTCCACATCCTGGCAAAATAAGTCCAGACAAGCACTTGGAAAAGATTCGCTGGGATATTATTACTTGTGCAAAAAATACTGCCTGACTTTTTTTGCTACCAACACACGTGCGGGAAGCGAGACAGCACACAGCCCTACCTTCCTAGGAGAAAGGCTTTCATTTGGTAAAACTCAAATCATCAACACCACCAAAGCATGCACTCAAAATCTTTTCTTTTTCTAATTTGCCTTTGCTAATGCCCTGCACTTCAATGTGGAAGTCCACACCGATTCTGCAGAGATTGGATTTGCGCGTAGCAGAAAGTGAAAAATGTACAGACATCGCACGCTCGCAAGGGGCGACTGATTTTGCACGCCTCAAACACAGAGGGTCGCATTGAGCATCTCATTTCTGGTACCCAGACTTTGAGGCAGGTAAAGCCAGTGGCTGCTTTAATGTATGAAGGCTTGAGTCAATACAGCTGACCATCCGTGCAGAGGGATTTCCACCAGCATGAATTCCCTGCATAAGAGCTGCGACACCATGATTTAGACAAACAGAAATAGCAATTCAATTAAAGTCAAACTAAAACTAAAAAGGAGAGCTCCCATAACAGCTTCAACCGAAAAAGGTGAACTGTGTCCGGAAATCAGAAGACGATTCATTGCTGTGAGATCTGTGAGACACCTCAAAGACACTTCCCCCCCCACCCCACTTCTACTTGCAAGATTAAATTTAATAACTATATTTAAAGAGTACTTAAGAAACAATTTCCTTTGTATTAATTGTGCCTCTTCAACAGAACAGAGCCTTTTAAATAATAGCATTCTAATAATCCCAAACCAGGCAATTTAAGAACAAAATATGACTATGTTATTGGGAGAACGGTTAAAAACAATTGTGTATACAGTAAGATCATCAGCGTAATTACATAAGCGTTACTAAAAGGAAATCAGCCTGTCACACACGAGCAAGCAACATTATGCTGCAAAGATTAATATTTTCAACTAAATGTTATGCCAACATATGGGGTCATTTCCACTAGAGCTGCGGAGCAATGCTTAGGACCCGGGGATTAGTTGCCTTCGGGGACTACAGGTCCCCCACAAATGAATAATCTTATCATTAATGCTCTGGAAATTTGGAGAGGGGCATCAGGGTATGAAAAGGAAGCATGGCCCAGTGATTAGAGTGGTAGTCTGGAGCTAGGAAGCCTGTGCTCTGCCACTGATTTTCTATTTGACCCCAAGCAGGTCATCCAGCCTCAGTTCCCCATCTGTGAAATGGGGATAAACAGCATTTCCCTTCCTCGCAAAGCTTTTGCGAGAAAATGCACCTTTAAAGACTGCAAGGAAGTAAAATATTTCAATAAGGAGGGCTGCAAGCATCCCAGATGGAAGCAGACGGTGAAATGGTGGTGAGCTGGCGAGATGTAAAACAGCAGCGTTGCCAACTCTTGGCATGTCAGTGCACGTTTTTAGTGCGATCGGCAACACAATCCTTAAAAAGCGCCAGCTTCCAGAGTCAGGTGATTTCAGGAAATCTCAGCTTTCATTATGGGGGAAGTGTTTAGCTCTTATAGTTGCAGAGAAGAGGGTGAAAATGCAACCGCAGTGCAGTCTCTGGGCTCTGATGCCTGAATTAGACACATGCACATAGTCTTTAAGCCAATCTCATCTCATTCTTGGCCCTAACTCATGATTTTTGAGTGCTTGGTTTACCAGTATTAAAATAGGCACAAGTAATTCCTAGGGGAAATGCTGAATAAACATGCAAAGGGAAAGTGCCTATTGGGAAAAAAAAAAGCTATCCTGCTGCCGCTACAGACCCGGAGAAGCTCTGCCAATCTGATACCAGAAAAATACTCAAGTCACAGCTGCAAAGCAGCCCTTATCGTTCCTGACGGAGGATTGCCTGGCCTTGCAAAACCCTATTTGCACACACAGCTGGGGAACAGAGGATTTTTTCCAGGTAGGCACCGTTATTGTCATAATGAAGGGCAGCGTGCACAGCTCCTACCCACAGGTTGCTCACACTTTTGGCCCATCTCACACAGGTGCCCTAATGGCATTGCACACGTCACGGACCAAAGCTAGAGAGGCAGCAGCCAGCGTGCTACAGCCGTTCTCTACTTTTTCCCCCTCCAGCCAGAGACACTGAAGCTGCATGAAAATCAGATTCGAGTCCTCAAAGCCCGGCAATAGATCACTCCACATCCTCCGGCATCCCAGCCTTTCATGTACCAAAGCAGCCAGCAACGCACACATACCGATTGATATGCTTTCAATTATAAATATAAAGCCGAAAAATGTGGAAGACAACAGGCTGCCCCGATTCCCAGGTGAGAGGCAGGTAAACTATTCCTCTTTAGACCGGCAACTGTGACCTTGATTGCGGAAGATCCCTCCTGCTGCCTCCCTCACCGGGGCGTGGGATCACAAGGCCAGCCATTTTTCTTTCCTTCCTGAGCAACAATTTACAACTCCCAGCCTTAAAAACAGGAAGTTTGGGAACAGAGAAATAAACTGTATTTTTTTTCCATGGTGGGAACTGGAATTTCCATGGGATTCCCCTTCTCGAGCCATACAGACTCTGGCCAGTCAGCGGTACACATGGGGACAAGGACTTGGCTGCGTGTGCACTGTCTGTGCACACTGGAGGACCTGGAGTACAACACAGCTCTGCAGGGCAGGGCAGAAAACCATCAGGTGAATGAGGACTCGTGCCCTGGTATTAATTGGTGATGCAGTACTTGCTTTGGGACTCTGCACTGTTATTCTCTGTGCATTACTGGCATAAGAGCATCACAGAAGGCAGAGTAAATGTGCACTTTTAGAGATGAACTAAATATAGAGCACAAGCTTCTGTGAATCCAAGTTCACTTCATCAGGTCTCAGCACTGCAATCATCGCTCTGGGACTGGGCAACTCCCTTCAGCTCCACCATTTCTCTCTCGTTCCTGCCCTCGGCCCCGAGATTCCCCTTCCTTCCGCAACCGTCACTCCTCCCAGCTGCACGCAGGGCAGAAGAGCAGCGTGTCCCAGCCACCGCTTCATGGGGCTGGTGCTCCAGATTGCTATGCCTAGGTCAACCTGTTAGGAACCAGTGATGTCCACTGGACAGCACTTGTCTAAAGCACAGAACCAGAGAAAATTCGGGTGGGAAGGGAGCTCAGGAGGTCACGTCTAGTCCAACCCCCTGCTCCAAGCAGGACAGCATCCCAGCCAAGTGCTGGCATGAAAGGTTTGAAACCATGTTGATCTTCAAGCAACACAGCCCTTTGCAAAACTCTACCTTGCACCCCGTCCTAAACTCCTCTGTACACAAATATTACGAACGCGGCGCCAGCGGGGCATGCGAACGAAGCCTTGTTGTTGCAGAACAAGCCTTATTAGTTTGGTTATGCTGCAAAGCACTAAACTGAATGCAAGTCCTCATGAACTTGCCTCCCTCACCTACCTGGAGGCTTTTTAAGATACAAGTCAGTCATTTCTATTTGGACTTTCCAATGGTATTATGTTAAGATGGAGCACTATATCACTACTGCACAGGTATATCGAGTCCACCTCCCTGTTCAGACAGGAATAAGAGCAACATCTCTGTATATTGTTTAAAAAAAAATTATGTCTGGTGCAATTGCATGGAAACTGGAATGAATGCTGTGTATTAAAATAAAAGGTTTGCACCATGGGAATAACACAGCCTCAACAAAAGGAAATGTGGTAGTGAACACAGTTATTTGAAGAGTTTCCCTATACCTATTACATGTTATGTCAGCCTTTGTCCCCGACATATTATTCATACATTGGGATTTTTCTTATGACCCCGCATCCAGCAACGTCGAAGGTACATTTCCACGTGGCATCACAACCTCTGCCCACAAAATGAGCGTCCCAAGAGATCAGTGACCCCCTTGTAAGAAACCAGCATAGCCAAATCCACCTTAGGCCAACACGGAGAAAATAGCAACGACAGTAGAGGGAAAGGCCAGTGACTGGACCCCAAATGAGGTTGTGCGTGTGTGTTTGTATTCTCTCCGGCCTTCTGAACTGCAGGCTTAAGTGTGATGCATCAAATGCAATTTTCAAAATGCAGGTGCCTATCAACCAGGCGACATCGCAACCCACCATACACTTATATGAGTTTCTTCCATAAAAGCTCTGGGTATCAACATGCATCTCACCCAAGTCAATAGGTTTAAAAACACTTTGACCTTGGGGAGTTTTCCCCGGATCAAGAGAGCGCAGAGGTTATTCACCGAGGCAGCGCGGACTGCTGTCACCGCCAGATAAGTGCAAAGAGACACGGTTTTGAAGGCTAACGATTGCTCTGCTTTCCCGTAGGCAGGCAGGCATTCAGAAAACACGTAGGAAGACACAAAGACACACACAAAAGGCCGAATCATGTACCTTACCGACGCTGATCGTTCCGAATCCTGAACACAATTAGTTTCGGAGCCGCATTGGAGTGAAGGTAAGGGCCTCAGGCGGTCACCATCTGGAAGTCCGGACAAGCTCCCCGCAGGCTCCAGGACAGCCTCCGGTACGTCCCTGAGGATGATGCAGCGTCCTCCGGTTCTTCAGAGCCGCAGCAGGAAAAGAGGCCGTTCGGAGAGAGAAAAGAAAGAAGGTGCGACATTGAATCCCGGGGTCACTTGTTCGGCACATTCAGAACAGAACAGGAGACAACATCTCATAGGAAGGAAATGTCAAGCCAAGACACAGAGTCTGCGACCATCCATCATGCGCGGCGCCTTTGGAGGGCACTCGCTGAATTTCAGAGTCGTGGTGCAGAACTGCTCTTACTTTCCGGTGCTTCCACCGTGCCTTTAGACCAGGAAACAAACGCCCGACTTCATGCACCGGGCTCCTGGGAAGGCAAGGACCAGCAGATGCTTCGGGATAGGTTTAAAGAGCAGGGGAACCCCTTCCCAGATGTCCCGATCAAACCACGGGATTTAAAAGTGAGAGCAGACACTTCCAAGCAAACAACTGTGACATTTGGCAGTTTTACAGCGCCTTTCATTCCAACATGTCTGAGTCCTTAATCGTCAGTAATCTGGTCTGCATTAAATCAATTATTAATTTATTAGGACACCTTTGTGAGCTAGTAGCGGCTGGCCGGAACAGAAGTGGGAGCCTGATATTAGTCTTTTAAGTCGGTCTAAACAGTTAAGTTATTGGCTGGTTTTTCCAAGATCCCAGACCCCCAGTAGCTCCCACTAGCACAACTGGGAGCATTCAACGAGGTCACGAAAGAAAAAAAAAATGAGATGACTGTTACTTAGGTGTCCGAATCCACATGCCACCACCTAGTTACAGGCAGCAAGGTTCAAAATATCTAGGCTACGCGATCTGCTCCAGACTGCAAGTGAAGAACTCAGAAAAGTATTCACAATGTCAAATATCCATGATTATTACTGATTTGTTTTATGACAGCTTTAGAGACCCAACCAAACCCAGGGGTGTGCTGCTCCAGAGGAACTAGGTACGCTAGACGAACCTTGGCTGGGACGATGGAGTTGGGGCTGGTCCTGCTTGGACTCCTGAGGTCCCTTCAACCCTCCTTTTCTATTATTCGATCTATGTGAAGAAATACAGTGTATAAATGGGAATAGGTCTTCTCTTTAAGCCTTGCGTCTGAGGGAAGACACTCCACACTGCGCATTGAACATAGTCTCATTGTGGCTGCAACCGAGGCAGAAAGATGCTAACTCCCTGCCAGTAATAAGAAAAAGAGTAGGAGGCCAAAAATAAATAAAAAAAATAGCACAGACCACACAGTGCAGTGGCAGATTTGTGTCTAAAGGGTTCCTTAAGGAGAAGTCAGTCTGAAGTAGCTGCACAAAACCTCTGTGGGTATGGACAAATGTGCATGCGGAGCTGTCTGAAAAGAAGAAGGGGGAATTCGTGCTGCGAACCCCGGCAGCTGTACAAGGCGGGAGCACTGCGAATGGGCAAACCAGCGCCGGCTGCTGCCGCCGGGGCTACAGGTGGAGGAGCAGCTTCACTACTCTTGCAACGCCCCGCTCCTGTGCACACGGAGCTGTGAGGACGTAATGCTCCCAACCAGCAGCTCCCCTGCTGAAACCTTCATAGGATCCTAGAAAAGGAGGGTAGAAGGGAGCTCAGGAGGGCACATCTGGTCCAACCCCTGCTTCAAGCAGGACCAGCCCCAACTACATCATCCCAGACAAGGCTGGGATTTGAAAACCTCCAAGGATGGAGACTCCCCCACCTCTCTGGGTAACCTGCTCCAGCGCTTCACCACCCTCCTAGTGAGAAAGCTTTTCCTAATATCCAACCTCAACTTCGCTTGCTGCAACTGGAGCCCATTGCTCCTTGTCCTGTCACCTGCCCCCACTGAGACCAGCCCAGCTCCATCCTCTTTGCAACCCCCTGCAGGGAGCTGAAGGCTGCTATCAAATCCCACCTCGGTCTTCTCTTCTGCAGACTATATAAGCCCACTTCCCTCAGCCTCTACTCACCAGTCCTGTCCCCCAGCCCACAACCATTTTCATTGTTCTCCACTGGACTCTCTCCAACATGTCCACATCTGTTCTGTAGTGGGGGAGCGCACAGCTGGACACAGGACTCCAGATGTGGCCTCCCCAGTGCTGAATAGAGGGAAGAATCACTGCCCTCCATCTGCTGGCAACGCTCCTACCGATGCAGCCCAGGATGCCAGTAGCTTTCTTCCAAACAAGGGCACACTGCTGGCTCCTGTTCAGCTTCTTGCCCTCTTATTGTCCACTGTAATCCCTTTATTATGCACTCTACCCCCCTCTCTCATTTCACAGAAACCCCTGAAGTGGACCAGACTTACCTGGAAAACTCAGCCCACCTGCAATGTGAAAACAAACCCTGGGGAACAGCAGGTAAGTAGAGGGGTCGTGAATATGCATAAGGGAGAGAAAGCATTTGCCAAGCACAACAGCGCAGGAAAGCCCACGCACAAACCGGAGCCGCCGTGGCCCAAAAGCAGAGATGGGCGATCCGTATGGTGCAAATTAAAGCTACTGGTTTGTGCCGTAACGTAAAGCCCAGGTGACCTCCCTCGTTTCACTGGGGCTGCTCCTAAGCGAAGCAAGCGCGGGCAGCAGGGGCAAGGCCTGCGTTTACTGGGTGACATTTGTGCGTCAGGGAGGGCTGCGCAGACCTTTGGGCTGGCGCTTTATTTGTATTTCTGCTCGACTGCTTCCAGCTGCCGCCTTCGGGCTCAGACAGGGAGGGGAAAAGCAGACTGTCAGATCTCCCATTCCTTTCCATCCGGGGCACAATGGCCTCGCTCCCAAACCGAGCGCGCAAAGCTAGGGTGGGCATGTGGGGCTTGAAGGGATGCTGAGCACAGCGTGGGTGAAGGGACAGCTGAGGCGGTAGCAGCAGGACCTGCTTTTAAGGGACTTCATCGACAGGGGACAAGAGCCACAATTATTCCTCCCTTGGTATAGGGTGGACCAGGCTCTTTAACCCTGGTCAGGAGCAAAGCCCCAACAGACGGACAAATGCATCGTCTCCTTTGCTTCTGCAACTGAGCTGGCTCCAAACATACCGGCACTTGCCTTTCCTTTGGTGCCTCACTCGGCGTAACTTTACTGTCTCGCGAGACAGACAGATGCCTACTACTATCCTCTGCAAATTGCAATGCGATAAAGCAAAAGGAGGAAGCTAATTCCTCTCTTTCCCATCTTACCTTTAGTGTATTTGTTCTGCCTTTCAGTCAATACAGTCACGGGATCACATTGCCGCCGCGGGAGGAGCCCAGGAGCCTGGTCTCCAATTGCATTTTTGAAAGCTCCTCTTTAGCACAGCCTGACAAAGCAACGCTGCTCGGGAAGGAGCAGTCGGCACGTCGCCCTAATGCACTGCTCTGCAGGCACCCAGGAGTGTCGATGGGGTCCGAAATCCTGCAGTGCTGGAGGGATCCTAAATGGCAGCGCAGGCAGGAGAGCGTGCTTTCAGCTCGTGGCAACGAGAAGAAAAAGAGCCCCTCCATCCCGACCGCTGCCATTACAGGAAACAGCAGCAGCAAGTTGGAAAACGCTAGTGGAGAGCCCATCCAAGCACTTGCCCGAGCCAGACGTTGGAAGGATGCAATAATAATTTCCATCCTCCTGCGTTCCCTGTGGACCCAGGGAACCAGCCAAAATTAGGAGCAACAACGCTCCAGCATCATGCCCTCTCTCCAGCTTCCATTTTTAGTGCCTACGGTGGGATGTCCCTGTGGAGGATGATTAAAGGCATGCCCTGGTCCTGCCAGGTTCCCCAGAAGGTAATGCAGCAGGCTGTACAGCCCGGTGATTTTATGGCTGGCATTTAGAGAGAGACAGCAATCGGTACCACCCGGTCAGTGGTCCATGGAGCCAGGCAGCTCCTCCAACCACGACCAAAAGGCTGCAGGGACAGAGACTGAGAGGCCTGGAAGACCACCAGCCTAGGAGCCGGAGGAGTCACAGGATCATGCTCCTTTTAAAGAGAAATTAGTATGCAAGACTGATAACGATTGCAAACCCAAGCAAACGAGGGCCTGCCCACCTCCAACCCAGCCAGGTCGCCTTTGCTGCCAGCCCCCACGTCCTTCCCGCCACCCTATGCCCCACGCGGAGACTTGTACAACACACGGCAAGCAAACATTACCGGGCAGCAGGTGTTCGCTGCAAGACCGGCCGGTCTTTCCTCTTAAAATATTAATTACAACCTCCCCAAATGCAGTTGAAGAAATTATGTTGGGCCTGGAAAAGATTAAATACGTCTGGGATCAGGAGACTTGAAAAGAGTTGGAACCGTATGTCCTTTGGCTAAATATGAAAGCTTTTTTTTTTTTTTTGCTTTTTTGCTGCCATTCTGGGCTTTAAGTAATGGACGGGGGGAGTGGGCACGTATGTGCCTTTACTTCCTGCCCTCTCCCCTTATAGCTCAACTTGAGCAAGCAGCTACTGCTCAAATATATGATCCCTGCAGCAGTGCAGGAGCTCGGTGGGAAAGGAGGGTGCTCAGCACCTCGCAGGAGTCCTCAGGGGCCAGGCAGGCACATGTACCTCTACATTTCGGCTCTAATCCTTCCCCCACCTGCACGACCGTCTCCTGGGAGCTGTAGCCCCCCGTGATTTATCCCGCCGGCCTCCTCTCCCCTTAATTTGGTTTAAAGCCAAAACTGGCAAAGAAGTGAATAAAATGAGACTTCCGATTCCCTCCTTCCAGACGGCGCGTGTTAAAAAGTTGGTAGCGATGCCACTTTGGGACCTCTCCAACGCTAGCGCTCGTGGGCACGGCCGACAACTGCTTCCCCGCCACGCTGCCGTTCGGAGCAGCTCGGTGCAGGGCGTAAATCAAACAGGAGGCTCTGGCAATAATGACACTCGGCTCTTTTGGGGCATTTCCCTTCCCCAGCAGCCATGCACGAGGTAGAAGGCAGCACAGCAATCCCAGGGATGTGCAGATAATTAACACCTGCTTACCATGGGATGTTTGCGGTGGGCCTGCGGTGTGATAAGCTACGCTTCCATTTCCATTCAAGCTACGGGACGTCGGTGCACGATAATGGCAAAAGGCAGCGAGGACCTCGAGAGCTGGATCTA